CTGTGACATCTCTCACTCTTGAAATTTCTCGTCTCAGGTTGGATATTAAGAACAATTTCTCCTCATAAAGAGCAGTGATGCAGTGGCACAGCTGCCCAGGGAGGTGGTGGGGTCACCAAACCTGGAGGTGTTCCAGAACCGTGGGGATGTGGCACTGAGGGATGTGGGCATTGGTGGGGATGGGTTGGGGTTGGACTTGGGGATCTGAGAGGTCTTTTCTAACCTTAACGATTCTATGATTCTACAATCTTCTAGTCCTCCTCCCTGTTCTTCTCCTTTACACAGGCCCTTAAAGTCATTTGAGACGGGCTTACAGCCATCTCTCACAAAGCATCAAGAGGAACCACAACAGCAAACCGTGCCTTGGCACAGGTCATTGACAAAATGAAGGCAAACACTGCAACACATCCTACACTAACAAATGTTACTACCTTAGCAGTATTTATTATACAGCAGATACAGTTTGTTGGTTATACTACTGTCTCTCAGTGACTCTGCAGATACAGAACAAGGAATTAGCAACAGTATACTGGGAATTCTTCAGCCTCCCAAAGTTTCTGCTTCAATCCTGAAGTTCTGCTTGGTAGCCCCGTTGGCAAGCGTGATTCATGAATCCTCCCAACCATTTACCCCTAGAGTCACCTCATCTCTCTCGTGCTACAAGAGCAGAGCTGAGTGTTTATCGTGTTCCACAGAATGAGGTGTCTGCTCTGGTAACAATTCCATTATTCCCGCTGAGCCCTTGATTTATTCTAGCTATTATTCTAATTATTTTCTCCGACCACCTGCTACGTGAGGCACTGCAAAGCAGTCTTATCTGTTCTGCTTGCATTTGCCAACAGTGAGCAGCGCAGTGTGCGTGTGGCTGCGTGTGCACGCATGTGGGCACACTACCTCCCTTCCTGGCACAAGGACACGGGTGGTGGGAGGAAGCAGAGCATGCTGCCTCCTGCAGCATCTTCCTGTGCTTGGAACGCAGTGAGAAGACGTGAAGTGGAAAGGAAATCCTCGGAGGCTATAAAAAGAATCAATGGTAATGGGGGGAAAAAAGGAATAAGGGGGAAGGAGGGGTGGAGAAGCACAACATAGCTGAGACAGGGAGCGGGAGCATCCACTCTGGTTAAAAAGAAAAAAGAACGTAACAATTTTCATAATGAAGGCAGACAGAAAGCCACCCACCTGCTACTCACTGTCAAAGAGAGAATATGTGCATACACCAAAAGGCAGATCTACTATATTGACTCCTATCCATAAATTACAGCTCTAAATAATTATGAATATGCTTTCCAGGAATACAGTTGCTATATTGCTATACACAAACAAAACTTTGATATGCCAGCAAAAGAGTAACTGACCTCGCTGCTGGGTGCAAGCAGCAGGTTACACTTGCAGATCAATAGGTCGTGAGGGACAGAAGCAATGTTACTCCTGACACCATAATTGCCTGTTCAACTTGAAGAAGCACCCAGTATTTTTAGTACGCAGTCAGCACAATCAGCAAGTTATTATCTTCCCAAGAGAAACCTCTATCCCTAATATATCAACTGGTTATGAAGGCAGTGTTTAGACCTTCTAAAGTCATCTCGGTTCCCTTTTGCCCTACTTTTTCCTGCTCTGAAAAGCACACGCCTAGAAAAGAAGTTAGCATCACAGCAAATAAATTTCTAGACCTAGTTAGAAATACCACACAAGCAAAAATCTGTAGGGATCCTTGACAAGGTACAGCTGCCTTTGTCCCTCCAAAATTACAGTATCTCATAGCAAGATAAAGATTTTTGTGAAGCAGAGGATTAAGCAATCCCAAACTGTCACACAGCACCACTCTACTGAAGAGCAGCTCACAACTCTTGCAGGAACGCAACAGATGCTCTCCATTTGGTTCCCCTCTTTGTGATCACAGCATTTTTTATGCAATAGAAGTGTCCAAATATTTACCAGCAGGAGCTAACATTTATACAGCACAGCACAAAAATAAGCTGTTTTTAACAACTCGAAACTATGACATAGAATGTTGGGGTAGGAAATAGAGAATGTATTCTTTCCTGGGGATTTAGCCAGATAGAAGGAACTACAGTCTGCTGGGCACTTCTCTTACGTTTGCCAGTGCAGGGAAAAACAAAAGAAAACAAATGGCTCTTTTCTGTTAAGACAAAAGATCTTTCAAAAAGAAGTTATAAAACACTTAAGACAGGTTGAGAAGCACTGAGAATTTGAAACAGAAAACATGCCTGCTTTACCACTCCATCTTGAAACATGTCACAGTGATCCACAACCTCTCCTCTCTCGTCTCCTGCAGCTTCATTTTGTGAAGCACACAGTGATCACCTTGCTGGGCACCCACCTCACAGCTGCCTCTTTCATGCAGGTCTCCCCACACCCACATGTGGGTTTCTTCTCTCCTTCCTCAGATTTTCCTCTCTTTAAAACAACACGGCTGTAATTCTTCGTGTTGCTGTGATCTCTCAGCCCTTCTCCAGCAGCCCGCCTCTTCAAAGTCCTATTTCTCCTCTTCACTCTGCAGCATTCACATTACTACTTGAGGGCTTTATCCTCCACACTGATTACTCATCCTCCAGCTTCTCACCTCTACACTCACTGGCATCCAATCTTAATTTGATCTGCGAGTCCCGCTTCAAATTTCTGAACTCATTAACGTGGCTGATCACCCCGTCACCCTCTGCATTCCTGAATCCCCCTCCTAAGCCTCAACAGGCCTTCTTTTTCCATTGCTTCACGTTCTTCTTTCCTGGTCCTCCAACCCTTCATCCCACACTTCTGATCTGATCTTACCCCTTTCCTGTGGTCTGATTTTTGGATGGTCCTGTGTGGAGTTAAACTCAATGATCCTTACAAGTCCCTTCCAACTCGGAGAATTCTATGATTCTCTGATACCTGCTCTTCTAAGAACAAAGATTTCTTAATTCTCTTCATGTCTCATTCCTTGCTTGGCCTCGCTGTCCCCCCTGATCACAACATGTGAATTCTTTCCTTCCATGTTCCAGAGCTGGCACACCATCAGCACAGATGTATTTCCAGCTCCTAAAGCTGCAATCTCTCTTGCAAAAGTATTCTAAATGAGTTGACCTTCTTCACTTTGCTTTTTTCTCTTGTTTTTCTATGCTAAGCTCTATCTGCTTGAGGGTAAGAAGGCCCTGTAGAGGCATATGGACAGGCTGGTCAATGGGCTGAGGCCAATCGTGTGAGCTTCAACATGGTCAGTGGGCATGGTGGGGGTGCATTGGGATTGGTGATCTTTGAGGTCTTTTCCAACCTTAATGATTCTATGACTCTAGGATCTTCCCAGCTTTCTTTTAAACCCTTCTCACAAAATTCCTGCCTTTTCACCATGTTCTTGTCTTCTCTTCCTGAGGACTTTGCCTTCTGCATCTTCTATTTCTGCAACAACTGCTCTTAATAAATGGATGGAACACAGCATGGCACCACCCTGACAAGCAGGGAGCCCTTCAGCTCCATTGAGCAGCTCAGCATCACACGAAGCCACACCTTTGAAGCAAACTCCTGGAAAAATACTTCCCCAAAGCTCCTACACTAAAGCAGGAGTGACTCCAGATTCTGCAGTGAAAAAGCCTCAGCCACTTATCGTGGATAAGCAGCAAAGAATAATCATCATTAAATAAAAAAATACTTTCCATGGAAGCTTGTAATTCTGCTTTAAATAATTGCTCCCTCTCCAGTCTTACATTTTGCAAATACTGGGGATTACTGCGTTCTCTTTGCTGAGTCTTATCCAAGGTTAGCTCTTTAAATCTTTTAGTCAGTACTGCTGTTCTTCCATCATAAATCCTCCCCAGCCTAATACAACCTCAGTAAAGACAGATCCATTAAAGAACCCAGAACTACGGTTGCAACCTCACTAGATACTGAGTCAGACTTTGCCATACCCCTCAGCACAAACAATTACATGACATCATGGCTAATTTGGTGCCCACTGTTACCCCTCCATCTCCCTGTGCACTGTAAGAAAATAACCCAGAAGCACCAGAACCTGGGGCAGGAATTTTGAGTTAACTTTCAGCTCTGTCACTGGTTACATCCCTAGTTTTGTGAGCATCAACTTAGTGCTTTACCCCGGCCTCTCACAGCACCACATGAACGCAGTATTTCCTAAGTGCACTGTGATGCTGACATGCTCAAGGAATACTGCACAAAATCACTTACAAGAAGTGCACACCACTGGTTTCAGAATTTCCTTCCTGCACTGAACTGCTGCACGTTGGATTGCTTCTTTCTAAACCTACCTCTCTGCAGCACTCCATGAAAACCCACTGTTTCCTGCCTGTACTTCTAAACAATATATTCCATTGCACTGACAGCTTTTCTGTGCCAGAAAGCACCTACTCTGACTTTGCACAGAAATATACCTGTGATTCCTGCATCGTGACTGCAATTTCTGCACTATTTCAGGACGATGAATTTGGACTTTGCAATAATGAGATCATAAAACAAAAAAATCTACATTATCAGATAAAGTGGTTAATTCCCTACAATGTTTACCATTTACTCTTTCATTTCTCATTTCAATCTCTCTATAGATAATTTTAAATTTTCTTCCACATCATTGAAACAGACATTCGACAGCGCCGAGCCAGGAACAGAGTTGCTATATAATACACCTATACACTCTATTTTGCAATTAATTACCTTGGAGATAATACGTTTTTAACTTTGAAACAGGTACTGTTCTAAAGCCAAGGCAAGAAAACCAAGTAGGAGAAAAGTAAGAGCCTTACTTAATATTGGAAGAGCTCTGTTCCACAGAGACCTGAGTGACTCAGTCTTTCATGAGGCAGGGATATAATTTTCTGGATGAAGTAGTTCAACAAATCTTTCTTACCTTCCACCTTCAAAAATGAATTTTAAATTGTTTGTCCTTAAGAAACAATTCTGGCCTCGATCGTAACTAGCAGCTGAGCTAAGAAAGAGAGAAAGCATTAGATGGAACAAACCAGAAACTCCTGGATATCCTGAGCCATACTCACAACAAATTGGTCGGTGTCCCTTTCAAGGCCCATGTTTGGTAAATCAGGCATCATGTGTGCCACCACTTTGAAGCCAGCATCCTTGGCCAAGTGGAAGGACTCGCACACAGCCTTCACGGTGTGACCTCTGGGAAGAGAGAAAAAGAGAGATCTAGAGCCCCAACAGCCAAGGCAGCACAAAACCACAAAGAGGAAGACATATTTTGACATATTGAATTCAGGTTATTCCCTAGGAAGTGAGCATGGATGAGTTTTATTGTCGGTCTACCACCATTCAAGTCTTGGAACATGGCTTCTATTACAATAAAACTAAACTAAGGGCAAATAGCAAGTTCACTGCTTCTTTAGCAAGTGAACCACCCTAAGGCTACAACTTTACAAACTACAGCCTGAGGAACTTATGTGAACTGCTGAAATGCTCTTTGTACAGCAATAACACAAGAAGATGCCACAGCATGAGCATACTGTGCTGAGGACAACATGTAATCAAAACAAGGGTAACCAGAAACAAAAGTATCAGAACAGGAAAAGGAGGAGGACGGGAGCCACGTAAAGCCAGCTAGTTAGAAAATTGTTCTACACCAGGCTTGCCAAACTCTCAAGTACTCCCTTTAAAGAAAAACAAACTCTTTGTGGCTTCTGAGGGATGTTAAAGTTTCAAATCATAGGAGTCTGGAAGTATTTTGAGTTCCCTGTCACTGACGTTGCATCACAGGAGCTCAGATTTGCTCTGCAGGAGCTCGACAAGAGTGGGACTGGCTGCAGGAACAAAGGTTGAATCACACCTAGCTCATCAGCCTCGAGCTAACTCCTCTCCTTCCACCTTTCACGGTTCAGGAGCCTTCTTCCATCTCTCCACAGAATCACAGAAATCATTAAAGTTGGAAAGGACCAGTAAGATCATGAAGTCCAAGCACCAACTCATCCCCACCATGCCCACTAACCATGTTCCTAAGCGCCACCTTCTTGAAAGCCTCTGTGGAGCAGTGAGAATCACTGAACAGCTCCAGGGAGGTCCCTACCCCAGGTGACCAGCCTTTCCACCATGGAAACAAGTCCTTGTTCCTGATCTTGCCCAGTTGCAGGCTCTTCCAGCACCGGCTGACATCTCTGGAGACTTCTATCTGTCAGCATCTGCTACTTTCTTTCTCTTCCAGTTGCCATTAACATCACAACCCTTGTCAACAGCACCGCTCAGCCGGTGGCTCTTCCTCTACTCAAAGGTCTTTTGGGTGAAAAATCCAATGCAGGGGGGCATCTCTACAAAAGCACACTTTCTGCTGAGACCTAATGTTAACTGATCATTAAGGATATGGTCAATGGCATGGTGGGAATGGGTTGACATTTGGACATGATGAACTTATTGGTCTTTTCCGACCTTAATGATTCCATGATTCTACAACATCGAACAGCTACTTTCCTGGTTTTAAGTATCTCTTCCTCTCTTTCTCTCTACCTATATATTTTGCCTCTGTTAAATCTCTACCTGTAGTTTTATGACTGTAGTTTTATTAATGATTTTTTTTTTCAGAAGTGTTACAGTATTTTCTGAGACTGTTCAAGGACAGAATTACTCAAGACCTTGAGTAGCCTGAGGGGAGTAAATGGGAGAGCTGCTTCATAAATAAAAATTATTTTCTTATTAGAAGTGGAATCTGAGCTGCATCAATAACTTGATTATTTGATGCCTAGATCTGTTCTTGAATATTTTTTCTGCCTCACAGCCACCCAAGGCACTCAAAAACCTCACTAATGACTTACGGAACATAATAGAAAGTAATTTCCAAACAGTTAGCCTAATTGGTTGTAATCTGACATTTTGCTACAAGCAAAATATTAAAAGTTTAAAGCAAAACACATCCCCCACAAAGTAGAAGAACAGAAGCAAAATGAGGTCATTTCAAAAGAAAGAGAAACTTGCATCACCCTTCTCTAGAAGTGTATTCCAATACATTGTTCAAAAACATTGGAGCAAGATGCATGAATGACAGCCTGTATTTTGTCTGCCCTGGGAGAGCCTGCAAAGTCTTTTAGGAAATCTGCAAGCAGGATTGAAAAACACCAAAAATCTTCAGAAATGTAATTCTATACAAGATTATTTCAGAGTGAAATAGTAATATACAACTTCATTGTTCCTCTGGTTCATCAGCAGGAAAGCACGGGTTCATTAGGCAATTCACAAGCCAGAAGTGACATGAAGCTTTGAATGATTTATGGCCTCAGCTCTGATCCAGCACGCTGTAGGAAAGCTGAAGATGACTGCAGTGAGAGCTAAGTGGAGCTTCACAGTTCCGCTTCAGGACGGGACATCTTTAAAAGGAGCTTGTGAAAAAAAGAAGCTTAAAAGAAATGATTTCTTAAATTTATGATGTGTCAGTAGTAACCATTAGCAGATACATGCAGCCTAAGAGTGAGATCTAGCCAAATTCCCTAGCGCGGATCTTTTCCTTTGGAAAGCTCTGACATCTACAGGAGAAAAGCACTACCTATAAGTGTTAGTTGCTAACTCTTGGGCTGCTCAATAAATGGCCATTCCTCTCTACTGAGTCCTGTAGCCTGTTTCATAGCAGTGATTTCCTACACTTCCACAAACAAGCAAAACTACAGCTAAGCCCGCAGGAAGGAACTCATTTTGGATTCTTACCTTAAGGCTCTAAAAGAAAATGTCCAACATTTTCAGTTTTGCACTACTGCCTTTAAGGTGAGTATTATCAAAAATGTGTTCTGCTTATTGAACCACGCTTCATCTGTCATTATGCATGATTACAGTTATCAAAGGTCTTTGCTAGGTGACTGGAATACACAATAAGAAGGAAGGCAAGTTGTACGAGCGTCTCAAGTGAAAAAAAACAATCAAGAGAACAATCACTTCTTTCAAAATATCTACAGAATTATCAGACTTGCAGTGAGGGGAAAAAAAAGAAGATTAGCTTTCTTGCCTGTAAGGGATGGGATGAAGAATGTATTGCGCTCACTCCTACGTAGGACAACTGTGCTTTTGGCTACAGGTCAGAGATTACGAGGAATAAATCACAAGCTTCCTGTGAACATATTTTGCTATCCCTAAAAATCCCGTATACCTAGAATGACTGTGGTTCATTCGTCAATAGGTGCTGGTTTTGGATGTGCCCCATCCACTGTATTTGCCAATGTCATCTCTCCAGTAAGGTATCTGGTACAGAGAGGAGGCTGCTGGCTAGTGAAGGACCTACAGCAGATTATACCACACTGTATCTACTCAAGACTAAAAGTTGTGAATTACGTAGGACAAGAACGACAAGCTCTGGGCATATTTTCTACTTCACAATACTGCATTTATTTATGAAGCAATAAAAAAGAAAAAAGAAAAAAAAAAGAGAGAAATATACACTACAGGAAGAGATCTTAAGTTTAAAATAAAATACCACAAACCTCTATTTTTTTCTCAAGCCGTGGTCTACACAACACCACAACGAATTCCATGAATCAACTGCAGTTGACTTTTTCTTCACAGATAAATGGAAACAGCACGAGTGTTTCGATACCAATCTTAAACGGGCGTGCAAATAAGCAGGTTAAAGACTTGCTTCCAGAAAGCATGCAATGAGCTGAAAAAGCTCCTTCCCACCTGTTGGTGTCCCTGGCCACGTCCTCATACACACTCTGCACTCCGATCTCCAGCCTCGTGCAGCCATAGGACAGCATGTCGCTCAAATGGCGCTTCAGGCAGTAGTCTGGTCTGGTCTCGATGGTTATCCCAACGCATTTGGTCAAGCTCCGTTCAGAATACCTGCAACAAAACCATCCTCTATTAAAACTGGGAAGTCACGTTCTGAAAACGTACCGGGTGGTCCATGAAAACTATACACATCATCCCTATTTCTGAGTGAGGTGCACGCTCCCAGCTTCACTGAAGCCTAACGGTGGAACAAAACTCATTGGTAGCCTTTTTCCCCATCCACCCTATTTATCACTGGATGTCTAACTGAGACTAATTGTTCCAGCTGGTGTAACAATCCTCTGCTGATGACAAATGGTAACTTACTGACCTATGAGAGAATAAAACAAAAGAAAATAGGAATCCAAAGCAGACTTGAAACAAAGTTCACACCAGGAAACCATAAATCAACACAATCTCCTACATCATCAGCAGGGGTCATATTCATTTCAATGTCCCCAACATCGTAGTCACCTTTCCAGCAGAATGCAGTGATTGTGTGACAGAGGACTGCAGCATAGGGAAGATACACAGTAAGAAGAAAACTTCCTCTTTTGGAGGGCCACGAAGATGATCAGAGGGCTGCAAAGACAGGCTGAAGGGAAGAGAAGGCTGCGGGGTGACCTCATGGCAGCCTTTCAGTACCTAAAGGGAGCCTACAAACAGGAGGGGAGTCAACTCTTTACGAGGGTAGATAATAGAGATAACAGCAGGACAAGGGGAAATGATTTTAGGTTGAAGGAGGGAAGATTCAGGTTGGATGTCAGGGGGAAGTTCTTTACAGAGAGAGTGGTGAGGTGCTGGAACAGCTGCCCAGAGAGGCTGTGGATGCCCCGTCCATCCCTGGAGGTGTTCAAGGCCAGGTTGGATGGGGCCCTGGGCAGCCTGGGCTGCTATGAAATGGGGAGGTTGGTGGCCCTGCGTGTGGCAGAGGGTTGCAGCTTCGTGATCCTTGAGGTCCCTTCCAACCCAACCATTCTGTGATTCTGTGATTCTTTTGAAGCCATCTGGAACTGCAGACATAACCTGGATAAGTCCCAAACCTGATGTGGGCAGGATTAACAGTGACTCTCTGAGAAGCATACTAGCCTCCTTATTGGTCCCAAATGATGAAGATCTCAGTATTCACATTAAATGTCACTGAGAAGAGGACATCTTGAGTAAGAGAGATGTTATGCTGATACCCAAAAGAATGCTGTGCACCAAAATCACAAGGATGACTGGCTTCAGGCCGTTATGAGGTATTTCATAAGGATTCATCAGCTGACTGCTGGCTCTGGATGGCTCCAGAGTTTAGCTTTCAGCATGACGGAGGTTCAATATGATAACAGAAAAATATCACAAGAAGAAAAACAAAACAAAACAAAACAAAAAAAAAAAACACAATAAAAAACAGGTAGATTCAGATCCCAAAGCAAAAATATTAATTCCATTCAGACTGATAAAGTCTAAGATATTTGGGGGGTAGACTATAATGGCTGTCAACATTGGCAGCTCAAAAAAGGCATAAAAGATTTCAGAGTTTGTGGCTCACTAATCTGACAGACTACCAGTTCATCATGTCAGGGAAAACATTGCCAAAGTGTGATTCATTAACAGCAGACCAAAAAATACTTTTAAAGACATTTTGTTTCCAAATAATTAAAAAAAAAAAAAGAAGACAAGTTTATCTAAAACTTGGGAAAGAAAAGGTCACCAGATAACTCACCCATTACACCAGATGAAATGTGTTGTACTAAGCACCTGTGATCTTGACTAGAAATGCAGAGGGGAGGCAAAAGTAATTATATTCCCCCCCCTGGAGCAAATTTATGACAGTCATAAAATGCTGAATCTAACGTACACCAACAGACCCCAAACTATAGCATCTACTAAGAGTACCAGCAGGATGAAAGCCTGGTGCCACGGCTGCAAAAGCTGTCTTGTCTATGCTGCAACAAGTGGGTCTTACCTGGGATTAGAAAAGCAATACAAGACCTGGGGGGATGTGGCACTGATGGACGTGGTCAGTGGGCACAGGGGGGTGGGTTGGGGTTGGACTTGGTGATCTTAGAGGTCTTTTCCGATCTGAATGATTCTGTGATTGAGGAAAGTAATGAACATCTGCATAGCATATCCTCTCTCGGTAGCAAACATTCCCAGCCTGAGCCACATGTGCTCCAGTTCTCCCTGCACCTCCTGGGGACCCAGCAGCTTCCTTGCATGGGATCAAAACATTAACCAGGACATGCCTGCAAAGACAGATCTGATCCCAGCCAAGCACTGGCTTTAGGTTTAATGCCTCTAAGGCTTTACAGAACAACGCTGGTAAGCAGAAAGAGTGCAGTCTAATACTTTATTTTACTAGCATAAAAGCCTGACTCGAGTGGTCCATATGTAATGAAGACCACAGATTCCCTTCAGCTAAATAGTAAAGCGAGAGAAACATGTGACAGTCAAGCACCCGAAGTTCTGGCAACACATTTTTATCATTTCTCAAACAGGGAAAAATAAATTTGACTTTTGTTCTCCCTCTTTGTGACTTGTGAACTTTAAACACTCATTTGGATATTCAGCATGTTTTCCCTTTGCAAAAAGAGCAACTGTTTTCTGTTGGAAATTTAATACTAAATACATTGAATACCAGGCTTTTATAGAAAGGGCCAAAGGTGAGCTACAAAAGGGAGCTCAGAGACCTGAAAGGGGCAGGAAATACTATTTAAAACCAACCTGTGCCAGTGCAACACCACTCTTTCTGAGAAGAAATGTTTCCTACTATCCAACCTGAACCTGAAAGTTGTCCCTCAGCTCTCCCAGAGCAGCAGATCCAGGACAGCAGCTCTCCCAGTTGGCTCATGCAAGGTCTATTTCAACATATCACCGTAATGCATTCCAGAAATCTACTAAATTAACTGTGCTCAACTGTATTGCCCTTGTAGCAGGTACCAGGGCGTCAGGTTGGATTCAAGGAGCTCTGTATATCATTCACTAAGAGCATCTATTCTGATCTCTGCATCATTTTCATGCCTTCTCTCAGCACTCTCTCCAGTTTTTAAGCGTTTCTGTTGCCTCTGATATCAAAAACAGCCGGAGAACTTTGCAGACACACCAGTACTAAATCCAGATGGAATATAATTTGCCTATTCCTATCCAATTTTCCACTATTTATACAGTCAAGGGTAATTTGGCTGCTGAATCATACAGAAAGCTCATGATAATGTGACTTAACTCCAAAGTCTTTTCTAGATATTTCGCTGCTTCTCGGAATAGAATCCTGCACTGTTCCTAGAAAAACAGCTTTACATTTTCCCATAATAAAGTAGCTGGCTTGCTCATATACAACTTACTATAGGATACAGATTTATCCCTTATTTGCCCATCTCCAATATCGATAGCATCTGCCAACCCTCAGAAATTACTATTTTAACACAAGTATTAAACACAAGGCCCAGAGGCAAAAACAACAGAATCCTATTAGAAATCATTCAGGTCAATGAGAATAATTTTCTGCTATGCCCGTTTTGAAAACCAATGCAATCAGTGACATGTTGCTGTCTTCTCTTTCTTAATGTGAAGATATCTCACTGCACCAAGCCAAATCTCTTGGAGAAGTTTAGGGATATTACACTTTAATGTTCCAAAAAGCCCCGTAAGCTCACTAACAGCATACAGTAACTTATCATGATAATAGAGATGATGGATTTGCTTTTGCTTAATCTTTAAAAACAACAGACATCTAGCCACATATCCTGCAGGAATGGCATGATAGCCAAAGAGCATATTAATAGGGAACAGATGCTATCCAACTAGGCAGAGAGGCTGAAAAGCTGATATCTACAGCTCCAAAAAGAGTGATTTCAGGATACTCAGTCACAAGAGCTCAAGATGACCTTGATAATGGCCAAGGAGAGCAAAGCCATCATCAACAAAGACCAAAAGAAGAGATACAAGGAAAGACCTAAATACTTAGATGAACTCAGCAAATTGAGAACTCCAACCCCTCAGGATGGTCTCATACACACAAGTCCACAAGGTTTGCAGGTTCACTCTGGTGGCAGGAAAGGGAGAAAAGGTTGAGGGAGCTGGGATTGTTTAGCTTGGAGAAGAGAAGCTCTGGGGAGACCTCACTGTGGCATTCCTGTACTTGAAAGGAGCACAGAAACAGGAGGGGGAACGGCTGTTTATGGGGGTGGATGGTGATGGGACAAGGGGGAATGGTTTTAAACTGAGACAGGGGAGGGTTAGGTTGGATGTTAGGAGGAAGTTTTTCCCCCAGAGGGTGGTGAGGCACTGGAACAGGTTGCCCAAGGAGGCTGTGGATGCCCCATCCCTGCAGGCATTCAAGGCCAGGCAGGATGTGGCTCTGGGCAGCCTGGGCTGCTGGTTGGCGACCTGCACACAGCAGGGGTTGGAACTGGAGGAGCACTGTGGGCCTTTGCAACCCAGGGCATTCTGTGATTCTCTGATTCTATGATTAGTGATGTGGATTTCTTCCAGAATCTGAGGGTGCAATGGAGATTTAACCTTACAACCAGCAAACACCTCACAGTACTTCTTCCATGGAACAGTCTTATTTGCTACCTGCGCAATGCTGAACAATCCCAAGTAAGAACTGAAAATCTGTCACACTGCAAGAACAATCAGAAATCAAGACAGCACAAGATTACAGGGGGGCAATTTTAATAACAGACCAACCATAGTGCTGAATTGTGCAAATAAAATAGATGCCATACAAATGAAGGAAATGAGATCCAGATAAACTTTCAGATTAGCACAGACATAGCTGGAGTTAAGTGAGTTTTCTGTGTGATTAGAGAACTGTCTGAATCAAGATGAAGTGCAGGAGAGATTATTCATTTTAATCATTAGAGAATAATTGAGTGTATTTTCAGACAAAGCTGGCACATAAAATAGAGCTTCAAATCAGAATCTGCCTCTTAAATAAGCAGGGATTTTAGATCAGAAAGTAACCACCTCTCCACCAGACGCAGCAGTTTGACATAGGGTTGCAGGTACTTTCTCATTTAGAGAAAAAACAGACGGCACAGCTCTGGCATAAAACAACTCATTTAACAAAGCCTCTGCTCTCCCTC